AAAATCAACAGATACGGGACTTCAACCTTCAGCACAAGACCCACGCCCATCTCCCTGTCTTTCTGCTGTAGTTAATAATGCCTGATATGCACCACCCCTCTTCTGATCTTCAATGCCTTCTTATTGTTTTACATTTACAGCAAACTTATACAAGTTTTCAACTATATCTATCAATGTTGCAAAGCCCCTGTCCACCATCTCATCCCTCCCACCATTTCATTGGTCAAGCATCTAAAACACTGCTTTAGCATCAAAAATGTCTGCTCAGTGTAGATCATACTTCACCCACATGCATAGTTGTGACTAATCTCTACTTAAGTATGGGAAATGTGTAAATATGCTGTCAGCCTTGCTTGCACCTCACAGCCCACATGTTCAAGAAATGAGCCATCTATCTTTCTTCTTCAAAGAATTGTGTCATGTCTGATTGCGAAGAATGAATGCAAGGTACTTATTCTCTGAGAAGACTAATCTACAACCGTAATTAGGTATATCCTCTCACATATCTGATTATGAATGGCTATTATTCAAGTAATGTGTAAATGGCATGTGACTACACCACAAATAGCGCACGACAATTCATGTTTCTTGTGTCTTGACTGTTTATTCACATTCCTTCAGATCCTTGTTAAATTCCAGTCCGGGAGCAAAGTCTGAATAAGTAATTCTTCTGACTAATATTTTTGAGTGCACACTTTATCGTTGGACCAAGACCGAGAATAGCAATAATAATTGATGAAAAGCCAATGACTCCTGATCAGTTTTGTTGTGCTGTACATGAGTTTAATTTTAAGGTAAACTTAACACTCAGAGGAAAATATGGCCCTGTGCAATTCATGTTGTCTCATTATTTCCAGCCACCCTATACTGTGGCACAATCTCTTTGAGCCCCATCACTCAGAGGAGGAAAGCTTTGTCTCTACCACCAGATGGTAGCATGGTATGATATTAATTTCCATTTTTATTATCAATCAGCAATTTGGAGCGCCAGTGGGCCATAGCATGAGACAATGTGGCAACAACTACAAACAAAAACTTGCATTTGTTTTCTGCCTTTAATATAATCAAACATGAAAAGGCTCCTCACAGAGGAATTCAACAACAAAACTCAACTTTGAGCCAAATAAAGAAATTCCTTGGTGTTCCTCAGACATTCATTGTAATTGCCTTAGGAGGCTGAATGGCTCATGTTCCCACACAATGTTCAATTAATTAATTGGTCACTCACATCCATTCCTAAATCTGAAAGTCTACATTCTTAATGATACAATGCTTAAATTGTCCACAATAATTTTTCAATAATTTTTAAATGTTAAAATTCTGATTTATTTATTTAAAGTTATTTTTCTCTGTCCTTGCATTCTTTTTTTTTAAAGGGTGGCCATTTGTTTTCTACAATTTCTACTTGAGGTTTATAGGATTATGAAATGTTTTGAGTAAAAAGGTAAAAAAAATCCATGAAATTGATGGGGCATCTTCAGGATAGTCAACCATCGAAGAAGGAAGTTGGAAGAAATCTTTTTGCAAACAGTGTTTGACATGAGAGACTGGGGTAAGAAATTGAAAAAGACAAATAAAAAGGAAGTAAAGAAAAGGCAGGGAGATGGAATTACAGGAGGAAGCTCCAATTGAAAGATCTTGCACCTGGACATCCTCACTTGGCTGAATGTAATTTCTGTGATTCTCTCAATCTTTCCTCCAGCTTTTGTTTCTTCTTCCATTCCATTTTAACCATTCTTTGACTCATCCCCTCAAAGACACAGTCTGAGAGATACCTAATTGGTGACAGACAAGGCCGAAACTTCTTTTAGTGTTTACTGAAACCTACAGTTGCTTAGTTAACTCTCGACCCGAACTCCCTCCACAGCAGCATGGGCTACATCTTCCCAAGTATGCAAATCACACCACATCCCTTGGCAATACTGAAGTGACAGACCAAGGAATGAGCAGAATAATCAGCAGAAAACTTTTAACAGGAATAACTAATTAAAAAAACTTTCACTCCAGAGAAGTAGAAACATATAGGTAAATTATAATGGAGAATCACTCACATTTAAAAATAGAAAAGGAAAACAATTGCCAGAGACTATCATTTGCACTGTGTTTGCAGACCTCTGATTAAAAAGAAATCAAAGAATAACATTTCAGAGGCCAGTGGATATCTTTTGTGAAGTGATCAATGTGCAAATGTAGACCTATTGATGTTGTTGTTCCTTTGCTAAGTAACTCTCCTGCTCACGGACGATTGTACAAACAATATACAGCTTCATGTATGAGCCTTCAAAGCAAACATTCACAGGCTACTTGGCAGCATAAGTTGTATACCAATCTCTACACTTCCTACTGGGTCCTTTTCACTTTTTTTAGTCGATGGTCGGACTACTGCATGAAAATTTATATTTCTGGCCATGGACCGATGTGCACAGCTTGGTGAGTTCAGTGGGTGAGATTTATTTTGATTTCCTGGAAGACATTAAGGGTGGCATCATATTGGGGTCTGAGCAATGTGGGCTAAGGCGAGATGCATCCAGCTCATGGACTGGACCAGGGTGCATCTTGGAATTCATCATTTGCTCTCAGAGCGCTCACATTCTCTGAGCTTACCCGGATATTCACAGCAATCTGTCTTCCATTCCCTTATCTTACTATGCTCTTCCCACTCAACCAGAGAAACCAGGATCATATTACTGCTGTCTTGGCATTCCTTTTAGCACAGGCATAAAGCCAGTAAGCTGGTCAGCAGGATTCCATCATGTCAAGGGGGTATTGCTGTCACTCAGGGGTTCCCTGCACTGCAAGGTAAGGGCAGCTTCCAAGCCTTGCTCTGGGTGGTCAGAGTCAGGATAATCTCATCCTAAGGGATGAGAAGCTGAGCAATAGGCAGAACATCACCCACTTTGACTCGTTCTGTCCTATTGTGGGCTGCTTTCCTCATGGAATTGGAGAGAACCTGGTATTATGAGAGATTAATTTGGATGGCACTGTTAATAGTGATGAAGCATCTGGGATGGTGGTCTGAAAGTGGGGCATGAAGGGTTATGGTTTCAGGGGTTGGGAGTTGGTTAAGGTAAGAGAGGGGAGATGTTGCGGGTGATAATGGCAGTAGTGGAGCATGAGACTTGGTTGGAGGGGATGTCCAGTAGCAGGGATAGGCTGAGTGTGAGGTATTGTAGAGAAGATGGTAGAATTTACCCTGCGATGTAGAGGAGGTCAGAACCTTGGCCTTGATTTCTATTCCTTGGTTGGGTGTGCAGAGGCAGGAGAATTCCCATGATGTGAATGTGACCTCAATAAATAGCTACCTGCACTCCACAGTTTCAGTGCGGAGGTGCAGCTGGGCTGAATTGGGAGTCAGTTTGAACAATCTAACAGGATTTGAAGAGGCTGTCAGTTCTCCAAAGTGGGCTGGGAAGAAAGCTGCCTCAGCACTCCACCATTGTGGCTAAAAATTAAAACAAAATATAAAATGTTCCTCGAGCCCTCATCCCTCCTTTCCCTACCCTTATATGCACACTCACCATGACTCATCAATGCCGACTCATGCCACCTAAAGACCTCTATCAATTCATCCCCAATAACCCATCATAGGCCAGTGGAACCCCATGACACTCTACATATTCCCATGGCACTTATGCCCATCCATGCCAACAAACTGCCAACTTCCACCCATCCCCTTTTACACCTTCCCCAGTTCATCTAGTATCCACAAGGACCCATGCCCAAAGGAGAACAAATGATGTTGTATAAAATCCTACAATTCAGATTACCTTCCACTGACAAGAGCACTTTCAATCATAAGAGTACATTTTGACAGTGTTGACAGTTCTCAACACTCCTTGGCAGACCGATACTTCTTGTCAAGTTGGGCAGTTTCTTCTGCTTTTATACTCAATTTTCTCCAAACTTAACAATCCTAAAGGATGCCATATGCCCCTATGAACTGCAAAGATCCCTGACTTCTACCCTGAAAGTATCCTGGGACCAGATCCAGGGGATATCTCCTCTCTCAAAAAAGGGTTTTCTGGATGTCCCAAAGAAACACACTGAGGACAGACCTGTTCTTACCTGGTTAAGCTCCACACTCCGAGTTCCAGACACCAGGGACTCCAAAATACAACTTGAGTGGAGATAGCCAATTATTTCAATGATCAGCTGCCTCTGCAATCTGAATATGCACGAACCACAGCCTGTCCTTAAGAAAATTGGAAATGCTAGGTTCCAAGAAGCAATTTAAGAATGTGGATGTCTTTTAGCATTTTTGTCATGGTGAAGAGAGTCTTCACTGTGACAAAATTATGGGACTTTGTGTTTGTTGTAATGTTTTGTTTGACTGCAGTGTCGGATCAATATTGGATACAACATTAGAAGGCCAACTTTGTAACCCAAGTCTTACAGAGGAAAGAACCATGCTGGAATTGAACTTCAGTAACATTACCCCTAAACACCTGCTATCAAGATTGTTTCAATTTTAATACTGTTTTAGTTAATGCTTGGAGAATGTTTGTTGTAGCAAAGAATATATTCTAGATTCTTAGGATGAGAAAACATATTCACAGGACTACAAATAAATGGCTGTATGTAACAAGTATACAACTTTCAAATAAACCATTCAGACAAGTTGTGAATTAAGTTTTGCTATGTATCAACGACCTTGTGTTTATAAGCACAAAGTTACATTTTCATGTAGAATGTCCTCATTCACCCGTGCCACTGTAATCACTTATGCACACAGTACATTGAATTAACATTCTCAAGATGTTTCTTATAAAAGTAAATAGATAATAAATTGACTTGAAGTATAGTCAGCCAAGAAAAATGAGCCTATTCGCTAAAGACCTGCTTGGACAGATTAGACAATAATTCTTGGAACAGTGCATTTTCTTGATATAAACAGTTTATCAGACTTTGGTGACATTTTCAATGCTGCGATGATCCATACTTGCAAGGAACACTAACCAATTACATACAAACCATCAATTAAAATAGACCTGCTACATTACCTGTGGCTGATAAAGGCTGCCAGGATCCCTTGGTCCTATTCCCACAAAGGAACGATTAGCTGGGGGTGTGCCAGGTGTCGTGTAGGCTGAAATGAAATTTTAAAAAAGTTAGTAGCTGTGGACAGACCCACAATAAAGAATTACAATATGGACCTTTTTTGTTTTTTTGACATTGTTTTGATGAAAATATTTGAATGTAAAGGAATAAGTGAAATGCATTTATATACATATATATAAAGATGCACAAAAAATTGATCTAAACCGCAAAAGTATAAACAGCTGAGCTTCAAATTCCCTGCCCTAGCCATCAAAAATATACTTACGTCCATCAGAGATAGCAAGAACTGCAAATGCTGGAGTCAGAGATAACAAAGTGTGGAGCTGGAGGAACACAGCAGGCCAGGCAGCATCAGAAGAGCAGGAAAGTTGATGTTTTGGGTCAGGACTCTTCTTCAGAAATGTGGAGGTGGCGGGGAGCTCAGAAATAAATAGAGAGAGGAGGGGTGGGGCTGGAGAAGGTAGTTCGGATGGTGATAGATGAGTGCAGGTTGGGAGTGGTGGGGATTGGTCAGTGAGGTGGGAGGGGCAGATAGGAGGGAGAGAAGATGGACAGGTTGTGTCAGGTCAGGGATGAGAGGGAGGGTTGGACATGGGATGAGGCCGGGTGGGGGGCAGGTATGTCCATCACCACTTGGGTCCCTGTCACAATCCATCTGCTGCTGAAACCATTATCAATGCTGTTTGTCACCTCCAGACTTAATTATTCTATTGGTCTTCCCAATTGCCTACCATCTACTCTCTGAAAGATTCAGCTCATCCAAAGCTTTCCGCCCCTACCCTATACCACATCTACCTCTGCCCACTATCTCCATATTCCTTGCTGGACCATATTGGCTCCTCATCCCTAAAATCGTCTTTCCTGTGTTTTAATTCATTCATGGGCTCACCAACCCGTTGTTATCTCCTCCAGCCTGACAGTTCTGTGCCCTAAACTCTCCATTTCTCCAACTCAGGCCTATTTTACGTCTGCTTCTTTGGTCCACTGCTTGGTCTTCAGATTGGTCTCTAGTTTTTGAGGCCCTTTAATCAGGTATTCCCATTCTAAATCCTTGAATTTCTCCACTTCTGCTTCGTCCTTTAAGACACTCTATACACAACTCGACCTAGATTTTGGCTGTTCCTTTTTATATCTCTTTTAGCTTGGCATCTTTTTCTAATTGCACCTGTGTGAACCTGTGTGAAGCGTCGGCGACATTTTCTAATCGAAAAAATATTCCGGAATGGCATTTCCTCAGAGTTCCACTGATTTGCTATCAAGTTACAACAGAACTTCAGTGCAAACCACTTTTCTATAAATTATTGAAGTGAAATATTTAATGTATAAGATAGCTTTAAGGTAAAAAGTAATTTCCTGATTTAGTTCTGTATCATTTCAGGTAGGTAACAAGTAGAAATTGTTCTTAGGTGTAAATATAAAATTGAAAGCAGGATGCAGGCAGACTGGGAGTAAAGGGGAAATCAATTAAAATAAAGCAACAATTAAGGCAAATGTTTAAAGAGTTAATTTCTGTATTTTTGTCAGCTGAAATATTATTTCCTGTTATTGTCATACCATCAAATCAAACGGACATTAGCATGTTAAAACTAATAGCTATAATTTGTATATCACTGTCAATAAAGTTAAAAGAGATTAAGAGACAACAAG